ATATGATGATGTATGATGATTAGGATAAGTGAACGTAAAGATAAATGATGATAAGGATAAGTGACTATGATGATAAAATGGTAATAAGGATGAGGGAGCATAATGATAAATGGTGATAAGTTAATAATGATATAATGATATAATATAATATAATATAATGCAATATAATATAATGCTGAAATAAGCTTTTGTCAGAAAATAGTGAAAATATTTACGGATGAACTATTTACCGATTCATCGACTTTTCAAAAATAAGGATAATTAATGAGGTTAGAAATCATAAGACAGCTGTAAAGATTCTTACATTAATGATAATTGAGAAGAAAAAATAAACACTTCAAGAACATACTATATTTAAAAGTATGTAAATGAGTTATATATTGATAATTCTCCGAAAACTTGCGTCGTCATGTCCACGTGCTTAAAAGAATTGAAGTTCCAAGTCGTAGATAACATAAGGTATTGAATCAGCTTCGTGACATAAATAAAGAATTTGAAAAAAAAAATGCTAAAAGAAAAAAAAAAAGTCAGGTGTCTCGAAGTTAGGTCAACTTTGGTGCATTTCTGATTTACTTCTGTACTTGCCAAGAAGAAAAAGAAAGAAAAAAAGAGGAAGAAATAACCCCCCTCCCCCAAAAAAGGGAATTTGCAATCTCTCTCTTTCTCTCCCTCTCCCTCTCCCTCTTTCTCTCTCTCTCTCTCTCTCTCTCTCTCTCTCTCTCTCTCTCTCTCTCTCTCTCTCTCTCTCTCTCTCTCTCTCTCTCTCTCTCTCTCTCTCTCGCTCCCTCTCTCCCCTGCTCACCTCCTCCTCCTCTCCCTCCCCCTTCCTCCTCCTCTCTTCCTCCTCCTCCTCCTCCTCCTCCTCCTCCTCCTCCTCCCCCCCCCTCCCCCCCTCTCCTCTCCCCTTTCTAAAAAAAAAATAATAATAAAATAAATAAATAAATAAATAAATAAATAAATAAAAAAAAAACAAAAATATCCTTATCTCTTACCTCTCTCCCTCCCCACCAGGCGAAAGCGGCAACACCCGCAGCAGCAGGTCGCCGAGGCACGCTGTAGAAGGCACAAGCAGGAGGTGCGGCCCGTCGGTGCTGGCCTGGGGCGACGGAACAACGGAAAAACCTCCTTAGGAACAAGTGGGTCGTGTTTTGAAGCGGGTGTTCGGAGCTTTTATGAATTGCTGTTTCGGTGTTTCGGAATCTTGACTCTTTTGGGGGTGGTGGGTGTGGGTAGGGTGGTGGGGTGGGGTGGGTTGGAGGGGGGTTGAGTGGTGTTTTTTGTGTTTTTTGCTTGTGATGTTTCGTGTATTTTTTTTATTTTTTGGTGTTGTTTCGTTTATTATTGTTCTTATATGTATGTATTGTTGTTGCCATTGTTGGTGTTGTGATTATTATCGTTATTTTATCATTAGTAATTATTATCATTATCAACATCAGTCATCATTTTAACTAATATCCTCTTTATTGTTATTAACATTATATCAGTTATTCTTGTTATCATTATTATAATGTACTCATCATCATCATCACATCACATCATCACCATCAGTGTTGGTGTTCTTGTTATGATCATCACCATCATGATTAGTATCATTAATATTATTAGTATCATTACTAATAATACATCATTATCTACTTGTTTCTTGTTATCACCATTGTCTGCTTGTCTCTCGTTATCATCATTATCATTTAGTTCCGGTAATAGTTGTAGTAACAACCGTAGTGTTGTGATGATGATTATCCATATTATTGTTAACTGTCAACATCGTTATAACCATCCGTATATAACCGCCAATGTTCTCGTATGCAAGGTTTACACTAAAGAAAAGACCAAAAAATGATTTTAAAAGACCAGTGATTTTAGAACACGAGTAAATAGACCTTGTGTGACCTTGTATTTTGTTAGCTGTGCATTGTTCATCAACATTCTTCCTCGAATAAATAAATAAGTAAATTGATAAAACGTTTCTTGTATAAAATTATAACTAGTTTCAGCAGAAACAGCAGGTGTGACATTACCTTTCACTTTGTCAGAGGTTTATCGCAAACAGTAATTCTTTTGGATTTTATGCTTTTAACTTTTGAAGATAAAAGACACACACACACACGCACACGCACACGCACACGCACACGCACACGCACACGCACACACGCACACACACACACACACACACACACACACACACACACACACACACACACATACATACATACATACATACATACATACATATATATATATATATATATATATATATATATATATATATATATATATATATATAATATATGAAAGTATATAGTGATAAAATGCAGTGAAATTTCGGGAGTCATTTAGAATTTCACTGAAAATGTATTCCAATACCTACTATTCTAGGTTGTTCGAGAGTAAATTCCCACACATTAAAAATGTAAATTAACTATTCCCCAGAAAGACAGAAACAAGGGGACGGAACAAGAATGGCCTTAATTCATTGCGTCAAAAAAAAAAATATTCAAAGGCGCTTTGCTGTTCTTATTTGGTTTGCAAATCGCCCGTGCATAATGTTTTAGGCCAAAGCAAAACGCGCTTCTACGAGCTGAGGAAATGTTATGGAGACCGAGCTTGTGTTACAGTGGCATGTAATTGGGGTATTCAAGTTATTATTAGACTATTTTCTGAAGTTTTGCGTGTACCAAAAAATCATTTGTATTCAGATTTCCTAATGATTGATTACTATAAAATACCCATATTTGCACACGGAATGTTACTATACAGACAGACAGATAGACTCTCTCTCGTTCTCCCTCTCCCTCTCTCTGTCTGTCTGTCCCTCTCCCCCCCCTCTCTCTCTCTCCTTCCCTCCCACCTCTCTCTCTCTTCCCTCCCCACCTCTCTCTCTTTCTCTCCTCTCTCTCTCTCTCACTCACTCACTTCTTTCCCTTCTTTCTCTTCTCTCTCTCTCCCTTGTTATTCACCCATTCACCCCAGCATCTCTAAACCCCCAGGCTCGACATGGCGAGAGAAGAGATCGAGCTGCTCCGCCAACACATCGACTTGCTGCTTCGAATGCGTCAGGAAGATCTGAAGGTGTATGAGTCAACGGTTGATAAATTCAGACATACTTTAGCTGCTGGAAGTCAATGGTAGCTTGGAATTTGTTATTAGGTGGTGTTTTAAGAGGAATTAGTGGAGTTGTAATTATAGGTAGGTTCGTAATGTTATTTTGTCTTTTTTTATAGAAATTAGGAACATATTTATATACAGGTGCTATGATTTTTTTTTTTTTTTTTTTTTTTTTTTTGTCTATAGGCTGTACAATTTATAGAAGGAATTTTTGACTACATATAATGATAATGTTAGAATTATATTTACTAGATTCTTAATGTAGAGTAATTTTATAACCAAAGTTTCTAACACTTCCTGTCGAAAGTGATAAAATAAAACTTAGATGTAATTCTCCTTTTAGCTCAGAAATATGCCAAAAGAAAATCTGTCTCAGGTTTTTATCCAAATCACACGACGTAATGTAACAAGTATTGAATATTTAAGAATTCTAATTTCCTTTGAGATATTTATGGAGTATTTTTACAAGCATTTGACGTAAAAGATTTCCTTTTGGATGCCGATAAGAATATTTTATTTATAATCATGAAATAAGAAAGAATTCGTTATTTCTCATCAAATACTTGTAAAAATGTCATATAAACATTAACTATACAAGACTTCCAGTTATTCTTTATTATATACTTATAAGAATGTCTTGCAAGTATCACCTATGAGAAAATACTATTTCCAATTAGTGATATATGAAAAAGAAAAAAAACTTTTCTTGGCAATTCTAAAAAGATTCATTAGGCTTCATTCTTCGGTGCTAGTGTAAACAAAAACAAACAAAAAACAATTAAAAACCCATTGTGATTAAGGAATTCTAGACCCTAGATACCCTATGTATCATATTCACTAAGAAATGTAATTAATGCACATGTATATAATGAACTGCTAATTAATTTCAGCCTGTTAATTAAATACATACATATTAAAGTTTCTCATTTACCATTAATATATTCACTTGTGTGGGATGTACGTAATATGCAGTTTTATTCAGTGAAATATATAACACCTCATACATGAAAATTTATATAAAGTATAAATTCTTACATGCATTTTCCTTTAAATGATTTTCATATCTTTTGTACTCTTTGACAATTAAATGTAGTTCAAGAGGGGACTATTACAAACAAAAGGGTACATAATTTTAAAACTCACAAAGCTAATTATTGGGATTGGCATTCCCAAAATCAAATGTACTTTGTATTAATTGCCAACTTACAAATCTGCAATTTATGCATTAAAGTAAAGTGGACAGGATGGGGACAGTAAGACTGAAAAAGTTAGTGATGGTGAGTTAGTTGAGAGACAGGGAGGAGAGGAGGAAGATTGGGATGGGGGGAGGGAGAGGGAGGGAGGGAATGAATGAATGAATGAAGGAGAAGGAGAAGAAGGAAGAAGAAGGAGGAGGAGGAGGAGGAGGAGGAGGAGAGAAGAAGGAGGAGGAGGAGGAGGAGAGGAGGAGGAGCAGAAGAAGAGGATGGAGGAGGAGGAGGAGGAGGAGCAGAAGAGGAGGACAGAAGCAGGAGGAGGAGGAAGCAGAAGAAAGAAGAAGAAGGAGGAGGAGGAGGAGAATAACGAGAAAAAGGAGGAGGAGGAGGAGGAGGAGGAGGAGGAGAAAAGGAAGGAGGAGGAGGAGAAGAAAAAGGAGGAGGGGGAGGAGAAGAAAAGGAGGAGGAGGAGGAGGAGGAGGCAAAGGAGGAGGAGGAGGAGGAAGCAGGAGGAGGAGCAGGATAGCAAAGGGAGGAGGAGGAGGAGGAGGAGGAGGAGGAGGGAGAGGAGAAGAAGGAGGAGGAGGAGAAGAAGGAGGAGGAGGAGGAGGAAGGAGGAGAGGAGGAGAAGGAGGAGAGAAGGAGGAGGAGGAGAAAGAAGGAGGAGGAGGAGAGAGAGAGAATCTTGTACATGGTTTTCATGAATCAAAAATTTTAGGTCAAGCAAACAATGATGTGGAAATATATTTTATTACAAGACCTACTAACAAGTGAAAAAGGTTAGGGTTACAAACAGTTTGTACACATCAACCTAAAAATACAACAAATGGTTGAAATATGCAAACACTGTCCTCACTTTGTAACTGTAAGCACATCTCTTACATGTCAAAAATCTTTATAAAACATGCACCAAACATTTAGAGAGGATCATTACATACATTATTCTGATGTATGTAAAAAGGAAAAACTAAAATAAATCTGTTTTCTATTTAATTTTTTCACGCCCTGACAGATTCTCATAAATTCTGAACATGCTTTCATTGTCAATAAACATGCCTTTGCTACTAATGCCTGATATTTCTTAGTGGAAAAATCCATGCTAACATCCACCCTAAAAAATAGTCATAAAAATAAAGAATAAAAATAATTTTTGCTTACTAATGGACTGTTTGTAACCAACCCTTTTTCACTCAAGCCCTCCTCCTCCTCCAACTCGCCGGTATAAATATATATAAGGTATGATTCATGATAATAACAATTGACTTAGATGTAATGAAACCTTGCACTGGCATGTGAAAAAGATGCCACTCACAAGCAAGCTTTGGTGACACTAAAAAATATAATCATGATGATATTAAACAGCACTAAAAATGATGGGAACATTAAAGAAAGAGGAAAAGAAAGAGCAAGAGAGACTAAAAGGAAAGGATGATAATTCTGGTTAAAGCCACTTTTTTGACCACAAGGCTGCTACCCTACACCTAGAGCCTAAACTAGTTTATTTTTACGACACAACACGACATCATAACACTAAAACGGGAAATGTGTAACCTAGGCAACCACAGTGTACAATGTTCATTTCTTTTCTGCTAAATAATAATACCCCCCCTGCCCTCTTTCAACATATTTACCCTCTAATTAAGTGGCTGTTACATCCATACATAACTGGAAAAGTATATAAACAGTGTAGGCCTAGTCTTGTGTACCAAACATTTTCAGAAAGTTCTGTAAAATGTACTTATATCTTTAACTCTTGTTCACCCACATCATAACAATTTAGACATTTTTTCTTTTACTCTTCTATGGACAAAGCCAAGACAGATTTGAAATACGATTGCATAAATAAACAGTGTCAAGCTATTGTCGAGCACACTACAAAATTACAACCCTGTTAAAGGCAAAAGGAAAACTATTGTTTAAAGAGCTATCAGTATCACAAGACATACTCAAAATCTCTCCATAATGCCCTAAACAATGGCACTGTTTACAATATTCCAGTCAAGAGGAACCTCCACATATTCAAACTGGCATTCAACCCTTCCCCTTACCTTTATTTCTTCCAGGACTTAACAGTAGGGAACATTTACCATCTTCAGTATTGTCCGAACCTGCCCTAGGTACGGCAATTTTAAAAAGAGCACTTAAGGAATTGCTTTCATTAGAATATTAGTTTCAGTTCACAATTTACTTTTATCATGGATTACCTGTAAAGTATATGTATACAAATGTACATAAATGCTAATCATTCCTGTTTCAAATTAAATTATATGTAATACATCTATCAAATGAATTGCTGCATGAATCACTCTAGGTCGGCACTGTAAAATGGTTTCACATCACCTATACGCTACATTTACTTTGTATACTGACTGCCATTCTATAAATGTGTATCATAATGAACTAGCTATTACTTACATGAGAATGATTTTCACTGTAGCTTTACGTATATGAATATGCAAATATGTAAATATGTATAAATGTGTATTTTTGTAAGTAACAAGTAGCCTAAGTGACACATCTCTGTCTGGGACGTACCCCAGTTTCCCGGAAATATAAAACACTAAACAGCAAAACCATTATCTTCTGGAACCACAGTATGAAAAGTTATTAGCAAGAAAAAATATAAATATATAATATATATTCATGTATATAAAGTGTTATATATAAAGAGGCCTGGGATGTGATAAAACTTTTTAAATCTATTGGTGATAGGGACTAAAAAATGGGGGGAAAAAGGAAAACTTTTTAAAAATCTATGGATTGGATGCTAATTAATTTATCATACTTATATTACAAGTAATAAGCTATGTATCTCTTTATCTACCTCATTAGCCACTTCATGAAAAAAGAAAAAAGAAAAAGAGAAAGACAGAAAAAAAAAAAAAAAAAAAAAAAAAAAGTAAAACAGATGAAAGACAAGCACAAATATTCAATAAAAAATAACAATGAAAAAGACACAAGGCATGGAAAAAAGAGAGAAGCTTCACTGCCAAGATGCAAATAGCAGTGGGATTGCAATGGCAAAGAAAATCGCACCTTTATCCCAGCATCTTGCAGTGAATTTCCGTCTCTTCATGTGGATTATGCAGACAATACAAAAATAAAAATTTGATGGTCAAGGTTTTTTCCTGTACACAAAAACCTTAATACACCATAGATATGTAACGCATAATAACTACACGTACACTTGCACAAAACACCAAACTCCTCCTTAATAGCCAGGAACAAAGTCTTGTCATTATCTGTACATTCAATGAACTTTGTCTCTACAAAGCAGGATAATAAGACTCAAAATAAAGTATGTAGGAGAAAATACCCACTGTTGCATCCTTTAGAACTGAAATAAAAATAAAAAGAAACAGAAGATAGGGAGGGTAAAAAAGGAAAGAAACGAAGGGAAAAAATTTAAAACTTATCCGAGAAAAGTAAGTCCACTCATAGGCCATTCACACTAAAGAACAACTGCCCGACAAAAATGAGATCTAGCCATTAATAAGCAGCAAACATAACACTATCCCCAGCAAGTATTTAGACCATTCAAGTCTCCCTCATGAATTAAGTTGCACTGCCTTTTGAACCAAAGCATTAATAGGTTGTGGGCCTGTAGTTTATAACTCCTAAGCCTGGCAAATCAATATTTAGAAACATCTGTGAGTGTGCATGTGCGTGAGAGAGAGAGAGAGAGAGAGAGAGAGAGAGAGAGAGAGAGAGAGAGAGAGAGAGAGAGAGAGAGAGAGAGAGAGAGAGAGAGAGAGAGAGAGAGAGAGAGAGAGAGAGAGAGAGAGAGAGAGAGAGAGAGAGAGAGAGAGAGAGAGAGAGAGAGAGAGAGAGAGAGAGAGAGAGAGAGAGAGAGAGAGAGAGAGAGAGAGAGAGAGAGAGAGAGAGAGAGAGAGAGTGAAGAGTGTGTGAGAGTGTGTGAAGAGTGTGTGAGTGAGTGAGTGTGTGTGCGCGTGTGTGTGTGTGTGAGTGTGAGTGTGTGTGCGAATGTCAATACCTTTTCACACTCAATACAAAACCATAAAATTCTAATGACATACCCAACCCCCAATTTTTTAATATAAGCACAAACCAAAGATGACAATAAGAAACAAAATAACTAAAAGCAAAACCAGGTTGTAACAATGTTCATTCCTTTTATTCATTTCTCTTTTCTAAGTTGTTTAACAAGGTATTACTACAAAATAAATAGTTTCCTGATCCCCCAACTCTTGTATAGCAACACAGTGTTCATCCACATTTTATCTGGACATCATACAAACTTTTTTTTCCTTTATTACTATGCAACTGCAAATCTATTCTAATCATATATAACTGCCACTCTCCCATTCTTTGGATTCTGTTATTTTGTTGAATTTCTACAAATAATATTATTCTAACCAAACCTTTTGGCTTACCTTGATGGATCAAAACACACTAATACAACTCTTGATCATTTCTTCCAAATATATTACAAATCTACTTCAGCTACATACATAAGAATGTGGAGTAAAATTGAAAATAATATGAAATCTTAGGGGAAAAAAGGAGGGGAAGGGTGGGAAAGCATGGGAGTGGAGGGGAGGTAAAGGGAGGGTGGTAGAGGAGAGAGCGAAATCACATTTCATTAAATAAGTTTCTTTTTACATACTAAATCACAAAACCAGTATAAAAAAACTGACTACAAGTGGAGCACAACTACTCCATTCTAAAGGAAAATAACCGAATAAATCATCTCCACAGATATAAGTATTCATAACCTGTACTACCAACTTGCTCTCACTCTCAAAATCAAACTTAAATTTCAATCATTCTCTGACAGACTCGTAATCAAACAAACTCAACTGACAGCTTTAGACACAAAGTTCATAGTGTGTTATCTTAGTTGTGGTATACATGTGCAGTTTTCTTCCACATGTTTGAAGCACAATGAAACTCTGCAATCTTGATTCAACAGCATAGCTTAAACAAAAACAAAGTCTTCTTAAGCTTAGAGTAACACAAAAAGTTTAGCATTCTTATACCATTTTTATATACGACATTTTTGGTTGGCATTAATTCACGCAGTCATTAAACCACATTACTTTTTGCCCTCAATGTACTGAGGTCTTGCACTAGCAATGGAATAAAAAAATATCTGAGTTGGCAAAATATTCACGAAAACACATTGTACAATCTGACTTAATGTTGTTAAAATATTGTGCATGGGTTTATTACAAAAGACATTTCTTAATATAGGAAATAAATCTCGTGTATAAATGTACATAAAAGTGACTTTCAACGTCTGCAGCTTGACACGTACTTAAATCTAGAGAAAGACTTGCATTTTCTTTTTATTGTCAGTCATCAAAAAATTCACCAATCTGAATATCAGACATATAGCAAGTGTCAACTATCACCTTTTCATCAAATTATCACCACTTGACATTGGATTTTCAAAACTGATAGCAACATCTTCATACACTCGATTACCGATGGATTCCACAGAATTCCTAGTCAGCTTCATCGTTAAGGTACTTTCTTCGTGATGTGCCTTTTGAACGAAGACAGTTGTTCTTGTTTAAAGGACAGTAGTCTTTGAGGAAGGGGAGGAAAGGAAGGAAGAGAGGAAGGCAGAGAGAGAAGGAGAAAAAGAGAGGAAAGAAAAAAAAAAAAAAAGAGAAAAAGAAAATCGAGAAAAAGATAAAAAAAGAGAAAGAGAAAGACGAAACATAGAAAGAGAGAGAGTGAGAGAGAAGAAAGAGACAGAGAGAAGCTTGTACAATGCACATACTATTAGGCAAAACACTGGATGTTCAAATATTTGTAACTATCTTTCCCAGCTCCTCAAGAAATATTTTTCACTCCACCAATTCATGAAACCACAGCCTGGCAGGGAAGGATGATGGAAGGGCAGCGAGATAAGAGTGAAGCACAGAAATATATCCACTAAAATATACCCACACATCTTTGCACTTGAAGGTGACAATGACACTGCACACGGTCAGCCATTCATAATCTCTTTAAAGTTCTCTTCTTGTCTTTCAATAACTTTTTCCGGTCGGCGGCCACTTTCTTGTCTGTGGCGTGCTTCTTGGCCTGGGGTCCCTCCTGACTACTTCCTTCCCCACTGCTCTCTCCCTTGGGTACCTTCGGGCCCTGGGGGGAGAAAATAGAACCAAAATCAACAAAAATTCTAAACTAGATATAATATAGTGTAAAAATTTAAACCTTCAAATGCATTTTAAATGTTCATGTCATTGTTACAGTAGCTGTTTACCAAATGGGAAACAAAATCGCATTCCACTTAACAATACGCAAATATAACCCTACAGTGAATGCAACTCCTTGACGTATCTAGCATAAAACAAACAGAACATGGCTCTTCACTATAATTCATGACCTTATTAACTGAAATCTTCAATGAGAATACAACAAAACAGAACTAAATATAATAGAGAGCACAAGAAGTAAATAGTAAGAAAAACAGCAATCTGCATGAATATAACCATCTCCACAACAATACAGTTATTACAATCTCTGAACTAACTTTGGCTTTAAAAACTACTTGCAGTAACGTACCACCTTTTTGATATATGAACCAAGACACCCAAGACAATGAAATTGCAGAGAATCAAACTTTTCCACACATATCTATTTATATGACTTCCATAAATGATTTCACATGTCTTCAGTTTTTCTTTAGAGAAATTCAGAATATACCCATTACTGAGAAGTATAAAAACAAGCGACTCACTTGTGCATGGATTTCCGTAATCATCTTAGCTCTGGCAGCATAGTCGTCATAAGCCTCAAGGAGCAGCTTCCCGGCCTCTTCATTCAAGGCTGACTCAGCATTTGGGACAATCAGCAGACATTTAATAACCTGAGAATTACAGAAACCATCTTTGATTCAAAATGTATTACATATCCTATTACTGGTCAACTTTCTTTTTCTTAATATATCAAATCTAACAAAAAATTAGCAAGGTAAATAACCACTAAAAAATGTTTAAAGAATGTTAAACTGCCAAATCAAAGTCTTTGCTTTAGTTTACTAAGAGACATGTTTTACAGTGTAATTCTGAATAAAGAATGTTGTTTGTTTATTGTTGGTTAATATTAGACAAATTATTTTTTTTAGTCTATTAAATACATGCAGGCAAAGGATACTCCTATCTAATATCTTTATCACGTTAGTACTGTGGATTAAAATCCTTATCTCCCTTAGCAGAAAATAGGAAAAAAAAAAAATAATAAATAAATAAAATAAATAAATAAAATCAACTGATACTGTGATAAACTAGTTAGGCAGGGAGCTTGAACTAAAAAAAGAAAGAAAGAAAGAAAGAAAGACTAGTAAAAAACCTGGTTGAGTATTTGTGAACTTGGAATGAAATCAAAGATCATTTTAAAGTTGCAAAAATAAGTATAAACTAAAAGAAACAGCAAACGCTAGTGTATAAATGAATTAATATTTAATCTGTTTAGTCCTTCTAATACATACAAAAATACCCACAGACACAAATCCAGCAAATAATCATCTCAGTAAAACCCGATGAAACAACTCACCAAGAGGACATGTCTAATGCCCAAATCTGCCTTCCAGTCTTTCTTGAGCGTGTTCACACATATTTCTCCATTCGAGGCCACATTAGGGTGAAAGATCTTGGTGAGGAAGTAGCCCTTAGGGGGGACGTTTGGGAAGTCCTTTCCCAGGGCCAACTTTACGCGGAACAGCCCTCCGGCATATGGTGTACCAGCTGGAATGATAAAGGGGTGGGTTACAAAAGTGGTGTTGTTGTATATATCAGCAAACCTATCTGATATGCTCGCTGTGTGGTTTTTATGCACATATATGTATGTGCATGTGTGTAGAAATATGAGCATAAATGCAAATATAAACAGACAAATATATATATGTATTAACCCAATGCCGACAGGTATAAAAATTTGGTAAGTGGTTGTAATAACAGGATTGTTGGCGCACATCGGCAGTTTCTCCTGTTTGTGCCCATCTAGATCGGTAGTTTGTGAGCGACATTTGGCACCTAAAAGCTCTTATTTTTCTATTATTAATAAAAATATTATAATTTTGAAGGTTTACATTCATTATAGGCTTTATTGCCTAAAATCTTTACCAAGTAAATAAAGCCAATTGCACGGGAATGGGCATGATATGATGCCATCCGTTTTTCAGTCCACAACAGCCATGGCGTGTACGTATATGCCACCCATTGGCGA